GCTGTTACAGAGCTGAAACAGTTCTGCTGTGAAGGAGCTCACAGACTAGGGGGAGGCAGAGAGAAAAGGCACACTTAAACTCCAGTGTCTGAGACATGGATGTGCTAAGTGCCCAAGAGGATAGACACACCCAACATCGCTGGCATCAGGGAGGTTGCCCACTGGAAATGATGGAGTAGGAAGAGATGAGGTTGGGGACTTGAGCCAATCTGAGAAGGAGCCATAAGAAAGGAAAGAGGAATCCCAAGAGAGTGGTATCAGAGGCCAAGGGACTAGAACATTTCATAGAGGAAGTGGACCCCAGTGTCAGGTGTGAAAAATTCCACTGGTTTTGGGAAAGAAAAGATTGGTGTTACTCATACTGAGAGTGGTTTTCCACAGACACAGAAAACAAACGTGGTTACCAAAGGGAAAGGCGGGGGATGGATAAATTAGGAGGATGGGATTGACATATACACACTACTATATATAAAATAGATAACCAACAAGGACCTACTGTACAGCATAGGAACTATACTCACTATTTTGTAATAACCTATAAGGAAAAAGAATCTGAAAAAGAATATATATATATATATATATATATATATATATAATTGAATCATTGTGCTGTACACCTGCAGCTAACACAACATTGTAAATCAACTATACTTCACATAAATAAAAGAAAAAGAGTGGTTTTAAGTGGTGCTGGCTAAAGCCAGTTGTATTGGGAGACCTTCACCATAGACAGTTGTTCATTTCATTTGGCTGTGAAGCGAAGGTGAGATACAGGGTAGTTGCTAGAGTGGAAAGTAGGGTTGAAGAGGGTTTTTTGGTTTTGTTTTCATTTGAAAGCTGAGACAGAATTAAGCATGCTTGTTATATTGAAGGAAAAGACCCAGTAGAGAGAGTAGAAGAAATGAGGAGGATGGGGTTAAGAGCAAGGTTTCTGAGGCCAGTGGGGGAGGATGGGATTCTTTTAAGTGAGGGAGTAAGTGGGTTGTGAGCAAAAAGGGCATGGATTTGAGAATGTGAAAAGATTACTACTCAATGATGTCTCTTTTCTTTGAGAAATCGAAGTCAAAACAATCTACTGAAAGTGAGATGGGGAGTCGTGGAGGAGAAATTTGAGGAAGGTATTGAAGGTTTAGAAGAGTTGTGTAGGCCAGTGGGCTAGGCTTAAGAAGAATTGATGAGAGATAGTGAAGGGCCAGCCAAGGTGGAGCCTGACGTCATGCTGGTTTCTGTCTACAAGGTTGTAGATCTTCCCCAGCAGCCTTTAGAATTCTAGGTGTTGGAAATGGATAAGACAGAGGTTGAATGGATCCAGGGTTGGCATCTTGGCATATTTTTGTATACTTACTGTATAACTGTTGCCTAAATGTCCACAGACATGCCTTGTTTCCACATCCAAGCTTCTTTAGGGCAAGATCTGTGTAAGGGGTTTGAAATCTTAACTGCTTAGGGGCCAGGCAGGTGATATAAATGAACAAAACTAGGGGTGACTTTTTTAAACAAAAGCACACTTTGCTTACATATTTAACATGTAGGAATAGTCTTCCTTTCCACAAAGAAATATGTTACTCTCATTTTTCTCAAAACATATCCCTCTGTCTACCTTTCATTTTTGTTACTTTTGATAGACACAGGTATTAGAACAATTCCACTTTCTTCATAATTCTACTGTGAGAAAAACAATAGTGCCAGCTCAGTGACAAAAAGCAACTGACAGTCTCCGTATCAGAGTGCCAAAGGGGAGAGCGTGTGCCTTCCCTAAAGGGTGCAGCCGCTGCTCGGCACTAGCTGATTGTTGCCATGCAGGAATAAATGCCCAGTGTAGCCAGGTCTTCTGATTTTTCAGGATAATGTTGGGATTTAGAATGTCATGGGAAATCTCTTACTTTTTTTTTTTTTTGGCCCCTCCATGTGTGGCACGTGGGATCTTAGTTCACTGTCCAGGGATTGAACCCGCGCCCCCTGCAGTGGAAGCGCGGAGTCTTAACCACTGGACCACCAGGGAAGTCCAGAAATCTTACTTTTATTTTATTTATTACTTTTTTTTTTAACAGAAATCCCTTTAAAAATTTTTAATTTATTTTATTTTAATTTATTTTTGGCCACATTGGGTCTTTGTTGCTGCGCGGGGGCTTTCTCTAGTTCCGGTGAGCAGGAGCTACTCTTTGTTGCAGTGCGCGGGCTTCTCCTTGCAGTGACTTCTCTTGTTGTGGATCACGGGCTCTAGGCGCGTGGGCTTCAGTAGTTGTGGCACATGGGCTCAGTAGTTGTGGCTCGCGAGCTCTAGAGCACAGGCTCATTAGTTGTGGCGCACGGGCTTAGTTGCTCCACGGCATGTGGGACCTTCCTGGACCAGGGCTCAAACCCGTGCCCCCGGCATTGACAGGCGGATTCTTAACCACTGAGCCAAAAGGGAAGCCCAGAAATCTCTTACTTTTAAAAAATGTTGGTAATTAACTAAAACATTTAAACATACTGTGGTATTTTTCTAAGAAAAATCTTACTTGGAAAACTGGTGAAATTCAAATAAGTCATATAGATTAACAGCATTGTATCAGTGTTACTTTCCTGGTTTCTATGGTTATACGTGGATATGTAAATGCAGGATATGTGGGAACTCTTATTTTTATAAGTTTTCTCTATGTATAAATTAATTGCAAAATTAAACGTTAAAAGAATTAGTGAAATGCTCGAGTCCAATTCTGTGCAAGCCAAACATAATACCTCTGCTGGCCACCAGTTTGAGCCTTCTGGTTTTCATCTGGGATTTCTTGGCCTCTGCAGTACCTAATATAGCACCTTGTATGTCACAGACATTCAATAATAATAGTGCTCTGCTTTGGAAAAAATGTTTAAAAAGAGATCATGGTGTTACATCTATGAATTATTTGACTTTTAAAATAGTCTTTTTTTTTTTAACAGGTTTTACAAAAGAGACGAACTGTTCTACTTCTTCTAGGTTTATTCCAGTTTTTTCTATAAATCAAAACATCTCAAAATGGAGGCCTAAAACTCTTAAAAGGGACTTAGTCTAATCTCCGGGAGGTAGTTTTGTGCATGAAACAAAGTAGTTAACAAAGTAGTTAACAGGAGTTTTTGGTATCGAAAGAATGTTAATTTTAAAAATATGATTTGGTTATAAGAGGTATAACTATAAAGTAATAATAAGTTTGATTTTGAATTTGATTTGTGGATATAAAGAAATGATTGTAGCTGGGACATATTGTTGAACTACTTTTTTCAAAGTTGGCCAGGCAGTTTCCCACTGGCTGCTGTGTAGAATAGAAAAAAGTACCTGTATTTGGTAAAGATTTAAAAATGAGTGACAGTTATCTAGAACAAAGAGTTAATATTCAACCCTCTGCTAAATTAGAGAAAAATGCATATAAAACCTTTGGCATGTTAAAAGATTTCTGCGATGACAAAGAAATGTCAAGAATAAAACTTTTTGATAGGTGCAACAAATTTAGAGCAAGTATGAAAGATAAACGTGATGATTGGTAAAGAAATTAACCATTTATAAGACTGTTGATATTTTGAAAGTCAAAACTTTAGTTTGTTCAAATGGGCTGTTATTTCTGAGAATAATTAGAATGAGAATGATGACTGGATGGTTACATTTTGGTAAATGAACAAACTTATTCCAAAAGAAAATTCACACAGAGACAGTAGTAACACCAAGAATGAAAGGAATACTGAAGTTAGACATAATAATTCACCTCTGAGGGCAATTATCACTAGTATTTAGATATGTTTCTTCTCCCACCTGGAAATAAAGCATTGAAGTCTGCAGTAAAAAGCCCCAACATATGTGGGACCCAGGAAGCATGCTTGCAAAACACTTCTAGAAAAAAAACCATGTTGACTTGTTTATTGGTTATTACTGACGTTATTGACACAGAACCTACTTACTAATAGCTACTTATAATTGAGAAATTCTGAATTTTGAGATCTCTGCTGTTCAAAAGAAGTGGATTGTGACAAAATAAATTTATTATTTTTTGTCATGGTAAATTCTGGTTCAAGGTATGCTATCTGTGAAATAATTTCTGATCGAAGCCAGATTTTTTTATCCAACTTTTTTTTTTTTTTTTTTTTTTTTTTATCTTAGCTTGCAGACTCAGCACTCTGACTTTTGACTGTTTTTAAAAGTAAATCCATTGTCAGGAGATTTGATGTTGGTTCTCAACAGCATGAAGCTGAGTCTAAAAGACCAAGTGAGCAAATATATTCATCTCTGATAATTTATTTGAAATGCAATGTTTAATTTGCTAAGATCTAGTGGTATTGCTATGAATAAGCAATCAGGTACCTATCTATGGGAAGTAATTATTATTTAATAAATCTTGAAACCAGGTCTTGAGATGTAGGAACCAATTCTGTTACTACTTAAGCTCCTTATTTGGAAGAAACTTTTGAATTGTTTTGTTCTCCCTAATAAAATGGTTGTAGGAAGAAAAATTAATTTGAGCAAGATTTTGGATAGACTGTATTTCATTGAATCTAAGATGTCATCATTTGTAAAGCACATCATTATTTTATGTACCTCTAAGAAATAAAAATGCTGTTAATTAAAATGTGACATGCCATTCATTAATTGTAAGATACCTCTCCATAGCAGAGATATTAAAACATGCACCTTAGAATCAGTGAAATATGATAGTCCATTCTTTTCCTCTTTCGAGGTAGGTCTTATGCTTTTGTTTTTTCTGGCTACAAAATTTCACAATTTAAAAAAAGCAAAATAAACATAGTTTGAATATTTTTGTGTGTATAGAACACTTACACAGCATAGCTTTCCACCAAAACAAACTAGCTATGTGAGACATTTTGTCTTCAGGCTGACTGAATGTCACTGAAGCATACTAGTGGAGAGGGTGACCTACCTGTGGAGATATCTGACACTAAATGGCATCTTGATGACCTAAAAGCACTCTACACTTTTATGAAGGGTTTTAATTTTCATCACAAGGTACTGTGTAGCATCATGTTTACATTGTATGCAAGAGTATACAAAGGTGCAGGTACATAATTGGCCCTTAAAATGTATCAATATAGGATTTAGAATCTTGCCATGCTATAACTCTAAATGCATAGAAGAAAAAAGAATGAAAGATTTCCTGTTCTAAGTGTTCAGTCTAGTACTAAAATTAATAAAAATCAAAACCCATGCACAAAACTACCTCCCCAGAGAAAGGCTAGTCCCTTTTCTTCCCCATCCATTTCATTATGAACATAGTAGAAAATAGCGTATTCTTATCAAATTTGATGAAAAGTGCCAACATATTTGAATTGAAGTATGACTTTTCATGTGAGCTGTACCGAATGTCTACCTATTCGGCTTTCCCCGCCGGTGTTCCTGTCTCAGAAAGGAGTCTTGCTCGTGCTGGTTTTTATTATACTGGTGTGAATGACAAGGTCAAATGCTTCTGTTGCGGCCTGATGCTGGATAACTGGAAACAAGGAGATAATCCTATTGAAAAGCATAAAAAGTTGTATCCTAGCTGTAGCTTTGTTCAGAATCTAAATTCAGTTAACATCTCGGGAGCTACTTCTCAGCCTACTTTTCCTTCTTCAGTAACAAATTCCACGCACTCATTACTTCCAAGTTTGGAAAACAGTGGCTATTTCAGTGGCTCTTATTCAAGCTTTGCATCAAATCTTTTAAACTCTGGACCAAATCAAGATTTTTCTGCCTTGAGGATAAGTCCCTACCGTTGTGCAATGAATACCGAAAAAGCCAGATTACTTACTTTCCAGATGTGGCCATTGACTTTTCTGTCACCAACAGATCTGGCAAAAGCAGGCTTTTACTACATAGGACCTGGAGATAGAGTGGCCTGCTTTGCCTGTGGTGGAAAACTGAGCAACTGGGAACCGAAGGATGATGCTATGTCAGAACACCTGAGACATTTCCCCAACTGCCCATTTTTAGGAAATCAGCTTCAAGGCACTTCAAGATACACTGTTTCTAATCTGAGCATGCAGACATATGCAGCCCGCTTCAAAACATTCTGTGACTGGCCCTCTAGTGTTCCAGTTCATCCTGAGCAGCTTGCAAGTGCAGGTTTTTATTATATGGGTAAGAAACTTAATCTGATAATAAAAAACAAATATTCAACATGTGTTATCTCATACATTTTAGTGGTCAAATTATATGTATTCATAAGTTTTTGTCCAAAATTAATTTTAGGTCACAGTGATGATGTGAAGTGCTTTTGCTGTGATGGTGGGCTGAGGTGTTGGGAATCTGGAGATGATCCATGGGTGGAACATGCCAAGTGGTTTCCAAGGTAATTGTTCTGAAATTTTCTTTGCAAATGTGTGTGATTATTGTGAGAGGAGTTATATGTGTTTACCTTATAATCAACTGTTACTTTATTCTGTCTTTGTTTCAAAAATACATTCATGAATAAATTTAGGAGGCATTACTTAGAAAAATAATTACTTAAAAGGTTTTGATGGAAATTTAAGATAAAGAGGAAATAATTTAGGGTTTCTTCGTGTGTGTAATTAATATATATACATGTATATTAAAATAACATATGCTCATTATAAAACCAAAGTCACACATTGTAGGAAAGTAGGAAAGTACAGAGACAAAAAAAAATTTAAATGTCCAGAAACCTCACCACCTAAAGTTGACCACAGTCACCATTTTAGTGAACATCCCTCCAGAGACATCTCTTTATGCATATGTACATATATACATAATGTATACAATTTTACATGAATTAGATATATTTACTGTTCTGAAACTTTTTTCAGTCAACATGTTTTGAACATATTTCCATTTATTCAACACTTACCTATCATTTACTATTGTAGATGCTTAATATAATCAGTTGAACAAAACCAAGACTCCTGGTCTCATATGCTAAACTTACAGCAGGAGAGGACAGACAATGAATAAAAACTTAATAAATAAGTTATATAGCATGTTGTAAGATAATAAGTGCTATGGATAAAAAGAAAAAAGGGAGCTTGGGTAAGGGAGATCAGAGGCACCAGGCTGGTTACAATATTAAGTAGGGTCATCAGAGTAAATATAGACCCATCTCATCTGTTTTGATCACTACGTAGCATTTTGTTGTCATGTCTTACACTTTTGATTATTCTATACTTGTTTACACTCTCCCTTTTTTACTAAAATCAGGTAGCCTATAATTTTTCATGGTCAAAACTTTTAGTATTTTTAGTATTGATTACTAAACTTAGTATCCTAACATTTGCATTATATAATTTTTTATATGATACTATGTCTTCATTTATAGCAATTTTGCACTCCCCAAATATTTCAAATTTCAAAACTTATGAAGATTAAAAAGAACACCTTACATAGACATTTTTTAAAAGTGCTGCTAGCTTTCTATTGTGGGAATTTTGTGAATATATAAACAGAACAGTAAATTTGCTTTGGTAGTGTCATGAATTCATTTTGTACTTAAATTTGACCATGGATATATATTATCTAGAAACTACCAAACTTGTGAATGTCTGACTTCTTAGAAAATGTGTTCAGCTTCCTCATTCTTTTTATGTATATTTTCAGCTTTTAAACATACAAAGCTTATGTATGAACAGTATCATTTATTAGGGAACTTTCTACCTGTCTCCTTGGCTCATGAATGTTCAGAATGTTTTTAGGAATCTTAGAATAGTTGAAGAGAGCAGCAAGGACCTTAGGGTGGAGACAGCCTTACTTATCTCAGTAGACTGAGAGCCTCACAACCCTTATCCACATGAGCCTTGGCTGAGTACCAGTTACAGCCTTCCTCTTGCTTATATCGTCTTACCTTTGAGTGCAGTATCTCTTATCACTTCCTATATGCTAAATGAATAGTCAAGTGGTTATAATTATGTTTATGTTCACTTGAAATATTTAGCAGTCTACAAATGACCAGATTAAAATAACCCCCACATTTAATTTTGCTTACATTTTAGGTGTGAGTACTTGATAAGAATTAAAGGACAAGAGTTCATCAGTCGAGTTCAAGCCAGTTACCCTCATCTACTTGAACAGGTGGGCACAGTTTTTTTGTTTTTTAAATCATTCATTAAATTGATTTTCTGATAAATTATTTTCTGATAATTACAGAGAGTAGTATTTTAGTGAAAAGACAAGTCAATTTAAAAATACATTTTCTTTTTTCAGCACCCAGCATGATCTTAGAGAGTGCTATTCTTTGGATAACAGCAGATCCAGAATTAGAAACCTTCTAAAAAATAATATTTAAGTTATGTTTCTGAGTATTTCTCCAACAAAGTTGCAATAAATTAAATTATTTGAGGAAAAAAAATGACTGGTAGCATTTAATAGTTTTACTATATAAATTTTTCTTAAAAGGATTTGAGGAAGATAATTGTATTGCTCTTTCTAATCTTCCCAGAAAAGCAAGTAGAACTTAGAGAATAGTTCGAGGGTCAGACACTTCCTAGCCACAGTCAATGGAAATAAAGGGTCCAGCTTATCCCAAAGGAGCACCCAGAAAATGGAAGATCTTTGGGATGATAGGCAAACAGTGATTGTCTTACAGGTCACTGAAAAGGTGTAGCCCTTTTCCTGCCTTAATGAAAATGGATTTTATTTGTTAATACACACATACGCACACACGAAGAAACTCTATTAGTTTATGGCCTACAGAATTGCTGTTGAATGTAAATGAAATTTTGCTTTTGACAAAAAATTATGTTGCCAGTAAACAAGTTAGTTTGCAATAAATTGAATTAGGTCTCTTGATTAATTTTTATTGCAATGAACAAGATAAGATTTACATTTTAATTTAATATACATTTTTTTTTAGCTCTTATCTACTTCAGACAATCCAGAAGATGAAAATGCAGAGTCACCAAGTATGTATACTAATAATAATTACTGCATTTAAATGTTAGAACCATTTGATACTGTTAAGATTGACAGTTGATAATTATAATAATGTACATTTATAATTTATAAATTTATAATTTATAATTCACAGTGAATTTTCAAATACATTATTGGTATTTTTCAAATTTTAGTGCATATCATAATTGCCTGAGGAACTCTAAAAAATATTACAGATTTCTAGTCTCCACTTTAACCCTACTGAATTGAATCATAGTATCTGAAGGTGGGGCTTGAGCATCTATAGTTTTAACAAGCTTCAGACATCCAGCCTAACCCTTGTTCTCAGACCAGTGTGGGAACAGGTGAACTATGACATTAGATTGCATACATATTCTTTCTATGAAATGGAGAGAGTAGAAAATAATATTCTCATTTTTCAATAGGTACTCAGAGGCTCAGAGAGGTTAAGTGACTTGTCCACCACCTTAAACTTGAAAGGTGATAGAGCCAATATTTGAACAAGCTCTTCTCCCTTATCTAGTGTTAAATTCAGTTCAATAAATATTTGTTGTGCTTCTGCTATTCTGGGGAAAGAATAGACAACAGGATAAACATAACACCTGCTCTCATGAGCTAGTGGTCTAAGGAATACAGGCAAATACACAGATAGGAGAACAGTATGGAAAGTAAAGTGTGCTCTGAGAGCACATGCGGGACAATTAGCCCAGACTTGGAAGATCAGAAAAGGCTTTCCAGAGGAAGTATTTGTCTTAGCACAGAATCAAAGGGAAGAATAGTAGTTAACCAAATAACAACGGAAGGAAAAGAATATTCTTGGCAGAGAGAACAGCACATGAAAGACTTAAGTAACAAAAGAGAACAGGAACACTTGAAGAACTGAACAAAATTCTGTATGGCTAGAAGTAGGATTTGCAAACAGGTAAATGAATGAAGCAGGCTAGCTTAAGAGTGGTCAGCACTGTAGGCAGAATTTGACCCAAGAGCCATCAGTTTGTGGCTTCTGGGATAGAAGGAGAATGAGTAAGTGGCAAGAGACGAGGCTGAAGGGGTAAACAGGGTCCAGATTGCAAAAGATATTGTAAGACACAGTTGAATGTTATCCTAAAAGCAAAGGAATCGTTGTTGTAATTTAAGAAGAAATGTGGAACATTCAGATTTTTGTTTTTAAAAAGTCATTCTGGTTACAATGTTGAGAATGAATTAGACAGGAGCAATAGTTTAGGAGGCCATTTCAGTAATAGATATGAGTGATTACAATTGGCCTCTTTCAAAATTATGTTAAACATATTTAATTTAGAAAGCTCATTTGTTCATTTAACATGGGGAAAAAGGAATCTCAGTGCTGGTGGGGATGATCCCAACATTCTTTTTCTTTCTCCCACTCATACTTATGCCAGATAATGCATATTTTGAATCTGAATACAATATTCCATATTCCTATTTTAGTGACTGAACATGTGTATCGTTATTTTAAATTTAAGAAAGGTAATACAAAATAGTACCTACACATTTTCTGGGCCTTATGTTTTTGATATTGTAATAACTTGCAATTTAGAAAATATACAGGCTATCCCAATATGTGTTAAATTCTTTATTCCGTATAGTTATTCATTTCGGACCTGGAGAAAACCATTCAGAAGATGCAGTCATGATGAATACACCTGTTGTTAAAGCTGCTTTGGAAATGGGCTTTAGTAGAAGGCTGATAAAGCAGACAGTTCAGAGTAAAATCCTAACAACTGGAGAGAATTACAAAACTGTCAGTGATCTTGTATTAGATTTACTTAATGCAGAAGATGAAATAAGGGAAGAGGAGAAAGAAAGAGCAACTGAGGAAAAGGAATCAGGTACACATATTTACTTACAGTCTCCATTTCCGTAAGGATGTCACTGCACATAAGTTATTGAAAATATAGTCAATGCAATTGGATTTGAAGTTCAATATTCTGCATTTGAATTCTGAAAACTTTCTTCATGTTAAAATATATTTGAATTGCTTATTATTAGTAAATTGAAAATATAAGTACATATATTGAGTGAAAGCATTTCACAGGAAACCAAAAGTTTCCTGCTTTTTCTTAATTTCTATTTTTATTCTGGGTAATTGACTGTGTATATAATTATTTACGGCACATTTTTGATCCCAGACTAGTTGCTCACTCCTCTTTGCTATAAATTGGGGTGGGATCAGGAACAATTGTTAATTTTAATATTAGCATAACAGTGTGTCTCAGCCTGTGACTGTAAATTAATGTACAAATTATGATTACGTTTCCTATTTGCCCACACAAGAACTGAATTCCCCTTTGGAGTGTCCCTGTGTTATTTAGGGGAGCTCTAAGACACTGTTTCACATTCTCCCAAGACAAGTTATCCATGCCCTTCCATGCTAGCCTTGTCTGCTCCCTGTTGCCTCTACTGTGTTGAGGCTCATCCCCTCCTCTGGATGAGCATGTTCATTCTCATCTGGTTGCTCCACTGCCATCATCACTCTGGCCTAGACAAAGAGAAATGTTGGTCTCTCCTTTGCCACTCCTTCCAAAGCATGGACCAGATCCAAGAGTCCTTTCAACACAACTGAAAACAGATTACAATTTTTAACAAGCTCTTACTGGAGATTTAGGGATAACAGAAGGGTATTACATCACAGATGGCAGTTGACAGCTATAACTGTATGTGGCCTCTCTTGGTGCCCCTAAGCCCATCCTCATGAATCACTTCGCCTAGCTCCTGATTCATCTCTGTGTAGCTCTGGCCAGTTTTAACAAATGACTAGGAAAGTCCCAAGCAGAGCTCAGGCCCCCAAATATCCACAAAGCCTAGAATGAGAAAGGTTTGCCCCATATCCTTGTCCAAGGCCATCTGGGACCTCTTTCTTCCCAGGATGGTTGACGGTGAGATTGTTCACTCCATTCCCGGAAAAATCTACCCTTGGTCAACCCAGACAAACATATCAGGTCACAGTCATACAGCATCCTCTATTTACCAAAGTGTGAATTATTCAGTTCTACATGTCACCAGTACAGCAGCAACATAGTCCAAGTTCATCTTTGCCCAGCCAAGTTCTCCTTTTCATTGTGAAGTGAAGATAGGGCTGCACGTCCTTCCTGTAGTCCTCTCAGTCTTAACCACTGGTCGTCAGTGAACAACTGCTCAAAGAAGAGAACACCCATTTCCACAATTGTTTATAGACCCTATGAAGTCTAAAGCCATCCAGCTATAAAATACTTATTTTTCTTCCAAAAATAAAATCAGCAGTTTCCAGAGTTGGCTCCAAGTCAACAGTATACAATAACTTGCATTGTCAAATATATCCGTTAGCTTCTTAGCTCACTTGTTATATCCATACTACCTAGCGCAGTATCTGTATATAGCCTGTGCTCAAGAAATATTATTTTGAATGACAATGAAAATACTTACGTTTACGTTACTGATTACTTTATAGTTTCCCAGAACAGTAGGTGAGTGATTTCTTGACAGATGTGTAAATAGAGAGGCAACTTAGGATTTTTTTTCCAGGATAAAAGAATAATATGCTTCAAAGGTTTATTCAGGTCTTCACCTCTTATAAACCAGAATACAGTCTATGACTTTGAAGTGAGACTATTTTCTGCAGCTACTAGCAATCCAATTTTAGAAATCTTAAGAATTTCAGAGAACTTCTTACATTAGTTTAAGTAAAATGTAATTAGAAAAATTAAAAATTAAAAAATTAATATAGTTTAACATCAAGTATAAATTATATTTTAATTTTCTAAAATATCACTACTTCTTAACCATAGATTACTTAACAGTATGTTAAGTTCTAATTCTTCCATCCCTCTGGCTGTTATTTCTTTGTTCCTACTGCTGTTTAAGTTGCCAAAGCCTGATTGTTCATTTGTTCA